GATGCCCCAGCTCCAAAGAAGCCCAAGACGGAGGCGTCCTCCGAGTCATCTCAGTAGAGATCAGACGCAAGTACTGCGCCGGGTAAGGATCCTCATCCCGGTCAGCAGTAGACCCCGCCGCATGGCCCTGTATCTGTAGCTCGATTCTTTGTAAAATTACAACATCCACTTTCCCCATCCCAATGGTACTGCCTATTTTCCTCCTCTCCTTGCGGTCACCCCCAGGACTCATCGTGTCAAGTCCAAGTTCGGCGATGACAACATCTTGTGCATCCTCTCATCCTCTTTCTAGTGGGCAGGAATGACGACGCCGTTGGGACAATCCCGACTCAGTCTTGTGGAACCACCCTCGCCGCGGCGATGGCCTGGTGCACGTACTCGCTGATGCTGCGTTCGCCGGGGTCGTGGCCGAGACAGTTGTGGTACGTATCACCAGGGAAGAAAATGAGGGTGTCAGACGCGATGCGTGCCGCCACGCCGAGGTGTCCAACCAAGTTTCCCGGCGAGTCGGCGAGGTAGAACGAGTGGTAGCTGGAGAACTCGCCGATCGCGCGTTTGTAGGCGCGAAGCCGCGACCTTCTTGTATTTTTGTGGGTCTGCCGAGGAAGTCGATAAACTTGGTCATCCATGTCTCGTGAGAGTGGGAGAATATCACTTGAGCGTACGTTTTTCTGAGGATTTTGTTTTACGATCTAAGGGAGAGTTCAACGTGGGCAAAGGAATCGGCCGTGGGTCGCTTGTGGGATGCCAGTGTAGATGGCTGCAGCCTGCGGTGCAAGATAGTTAGCCTTGGGGAACGAACCATGCGGTAAGGCCTGTACCTGAATACAACCTCTCTCGGCGACAGGAGCCAAACTCAAGGATACGAGAAAGGTCTGCACGAGACGCAGATACAAATAGTACCAAATTTAAACTTCGGACTCAGCCTTTTCAGGTACTGGCGCGACGATCACTGAGGATATCGTTGTGTCATAAAGAGCGTAACATCCAAACATCTATGTTATTTACAGACCCTACTTCGCACCGCCAAATCTGAACTTGTAGAATTCGTCGTTCCCGATAATCTTTCGATAGAGATTGTTCCGCGCGATACACTCCTCGACGCCAGTCTTCACATGGTTCTCGCCCTGCGCGCGAGCACTTTGAACCATGGCAGAAAATGCCGGGATGCGCACGGCTTCTAGTTCTTTGAACATCGTCTCCATTGTCTCCGTCGATGGGGATTCGGCGGTCGGGTTGTGTTTCGTGAGCAGCTGAATCAAGAGATCGACATCTTAGGACTGACTGGCTCCTTGACCGAAGTGCTAGTAGACAGTCAGAGTCCATAAACAGTATCAATCATGACACTCACAGGGCTGGTGGGGTGAGCGGCGTCGCCAATCAGCACGACACGGCCTTTGTGCCAGCAGCTGAGCTCAGGTCTATCTATCATAAAGACCAAACTACAATGATCAGGTAAGTGATGGCGAGAGAGAGACGGTCGCCTGGGGATGTTATATCTACCCGAAGGATCCTCGTACTGTTTCTAATAGCCTCTCCAGCGCCATAATCCCATTTGCTGTATTCGGAATGTTTGAACTCTTCGGCGGCAGCATCATCTATAGCTCTCCAAGTGTCTTTGGACTCAGGGTCCCGCACCGTAACCCTACGTACAACTGTCAGATACACGAAAATTTGACAGACAATCACATACGCCCATACGACCTCGTCGTCGCTCACAGAAATTACGACCATGCCGCATCCATTACCAAAGATCTCGAAGTTGGTGGCTTTGTCCTGAAGACAACTGGGCTTCGGTGACACACTTCCCCACTAGTTAAGCAGTCCGTTAGAGACAGCACAATATGGTAGCGAAAATTAAATTCACATGCGATAGTCCAGTGTATGTAGCCGGCTGTTCACCAAAGAGACAGGTGCGGGTGTTGCTGTGGAGTCCGTCACAACCAATAACAAAGCTGAACGTCTCTTGAACGCCGTTGGAGAACGTGATAGTGACGCTGTCGTTGTCTTGTACCAGAGACTCCAACTTGTGACCCCAGACAACCGGCACGCCTGCCCTCTCGGCGAACTCGACCAGTCTCTTCAGCATTACAGGCCTGCGAATGGTCCCGGCACCGATACCGTCGGCCTCTCTGAACCTTTTCGGATAGTCACTGCGCCTAGGAGACCGGGATCCTCTGGAAGAGCGGAGTAGGCTTCGATTCTGTCAATTGGTTGGGCGTTGACGTGTTCTAATAGCCCTGGGATCCCCGAGAGGACCCGAAGACCGTTTCGCTGAATACTATGGTCTATTAGATTCTAGGATGCCTAGGTATATTTTCGGACACAGCTCACCCAATTGCCAGACCACTCAGAAATGGAATCCGTGCGCTCGTATATGACAGGGTCGTAGCCTTTCAACTTGAGGTACATGGCTAAGACGGGACCCGCCATCCCTGCACCAATGACGCCAACCCTAGCAGGAGACATTAGTGTAGATTTCTCGTGGTACGAAGGAATGAGTGCGAGAGGCGATGAACTGGTGATCAAGAGCACTGATGATAAGGCGGGACGAGGGACAGTGTACACTTTTTTATAGCACCCGTCGATGATCGAATTAGAAATTCGAAGAAACTAGACGTGGCTGGAGAGTCAGCAAACATCCTAAACGAGAGGCGCTATGCGGACGTTGCGGCAAGGTGTGCCATGGCTCCGAAGAGCGAGGTCAACAAAGTAGTTGATGCGACTGCTCCCTTCGACGTGAACGCGCGAACAGCGAAGGCGATCTATTACGGGCCCCATGAACCGCTTGGGAGGGGGAAGACCCGACCATTGGTTACAGTGTTAGCTGCCTGCCTGTCGGGGAATGCAAAGATTCGACACACTGACACTTCCCACAGTACGACCGGTGTGCAGCAATTTGCGTGATACGCTGCTCCTCCCGGGCTGCCCTGGGCACGCCATGAGTCAATACGCCCTCGTGTGCAAATATAGGTGTGCGTTACATCTCGCTTCTCCTGTCACAACGCAATAGTCTTCTTTGTCGGTAAAAAAACTCCGACTGCCACCGCGAACAATGGGTCCCAATTTAGAGCGAGTCTGCAAAGATAGAATTCAGGTCTGCAGAGCCAAACAGTTCTTGTTAGATATTACGTATACACGTTTGCTGTGTGTATCTTCTATGGCAGCAAGGAAAAGGTTCTCGAGCAGTGCTTACCGCTCCCACTCATTGGTTGGCCTCATACTCGAAGCAGAAATTGCTTGTAGACGGAGGACCTGAGTGTACGGTATCCTGAAATCCGAGATAAGTAACAACGGTCACCCAAAAGCATGGAAAGAGCGTACTGTACTCCCTTTGCCGCTGGGTAATATTTGATATTTACAATCCTTCGTCATAAAAGCCCACGGAAGCTACCCAGTATCCATGTTAGACCACAGCTGCGACATGGCTCGGTTATTATTAGTGAAATGGACCGCATGACACGAGCATCAGTGCTTCCGAGTACTCTGAGGCTTTGGTTTGCGAAGTGATGTCATTGTGCTGGCATCTGGGGCGGAATCTGAGCAAATACGTGAAAGGCTTAGATGATGCAAAATAATGTATGGCATACCCCATAAACCCTTGATACACCCAAGCGCTCCGTGCAGACATACACACAACTCGCTCTCTAGTGTACGGTTCACGCACCCATCAAGCCTAATTCCCATACACGTGGTCCACTTGCCCTTGCACACGTCAGAGGTAAATGACCACTATCTCCGTAAAAAGGCGAAACGATGGATTTACACTGTCATACGACAGAAACTCGAGACCCTGCTACGCGGTCTGCAACCTGGGGCGCCGTGTGTCAGCAACGATAAGTACTAGCACAGCACGGAGCGCACATCTTTGATGTATGGTAGTTGCAGTAATGTACCGATGAAGGGTAGTTGTCGTAGGAACGTCAGAATAACTGGGAAGAAGTCTCTGCATCGCTGTTAGCTCGGGTGACCGTAGAACAACATAGATACACACCCGAAGAGATTTAGGAACCCAAAGACCTCGACTATGACTCCAATGAATGGCCATTTAAAGAATATGAGCAAAATGCCTCCTAGAAAGCACAGCGTTCCCCGTATCTTCTGCTTCCTCGCAAAGAAATAGAATGTCTTCTGCGGGCCAATGATGAGGGTCAGACCTGAGAGAAACAAGAGCTGTTGCAAATTTTAGCTGTCATTTGGTGTCAAAGAGGTTATACGCACATTCCCAAGAGCAAGTAGTGCGCCGTCAAAGAATAACATCACACCGAGGAGCATGAACAATCCTCCGAAAGTTGTCAACGCCACACCAATTTCTAGAGGTATCTTAAGCATCTGCTGAGACATATCATCATACTTGACTGTACTTTGTGCATCTGAAAGCCACATATTATGCCAATGACTGCTGACAGTGAAGAGTAGAGACGGTAACGGCTCTCGCGTCGCAAACTCCGACGTACGTGTCAAGCGTTTAGCGGCGCGGAAATCTGTATATATCTATATACTACTAAAACGACACCGACGTCAGGGCCTGATGGTCTAGGGGTATGATTCACCCTTAGGGATTTCCACGTTATCATGGAATCATCTGGGTGAGGTCCCGGGTTCGAATCCCGGTTAGGCCCTTTGCGTTTTGTGATTTTCTTTCCTGCGAACCATTAAGGCAGTTCAATCCTTTTGAAGTTTGAACTTTTGAAGGATAAAGTTCGCTGAAATCTTGTCGAGTGGCTTAGTCTCAAGAAGATAGATCACGACTCCCCTCCAACCTCTGCCCCGGTTCTCACCTTCAACTGCGGTAAATGGCTCGTTGAGGCATATACTTAAGCTTACGGCATTTTCCCAAACACTTGAACCGAGTTAACTCGTCTAGATCCCTCTAGACCTATTGTGGTCAATGAGCGGACGATTGCTGTCGCGGGTCACGCCATCAATCAACACGCTTTCGTTGGCGCCGGCAACGGAGAGAGTATATATTCAAGTCAGTTCGCATCAACGTCAAACTCCCCCGCACATATTCCCCGATCATGGAGCCCCGTACCCAAGTGAGTACGTCGAATAATAAGAGAGGGATTTTGAGCGCTACAAACCTCGGAGTTTACAGGAAATTGCCGATTTACCCGTTGACGAAGACGTGCGACCGGGAGGTTCGCCATTGAGGAACTCTACTGTCGCATCTGATGTACGTAACTCATACCTAGATTTCTAGCAGCAAAATAGTAACCTCTGCTAACAGGAACTTCCGGAGTCGCGGGCTTTGAATGGGAAAATGGTATGTTGATACACTGAGACCGTCAGATCATAGCCCTCAACGCCCCACCCTCATATTTAGCCAGGTGTCCTCCTCGAAAATGAGAAACGAATTGAAACACAGAAAGTGGTAAGTCGCAAATAAATCTGCGGATACATGACCCCACCGTACTGAGCTATCCTTAATGCAGGACAACGAACGCGAGGAAGGATGGTCATTCCTCCTTGACTCCGCTCGAGGATATGATCAGGAAAAGTTAGACGGCTGGAAAAGTGACCTTGACAACCTACTCGTTTTCGTATGTGCATGTGACCATCATCGGTGTGATTGACGTCTCATCACGTATTCAGGCTGCCTTGTTCTCGGCAATTGTCACAGCCTTCACTATTGAGTCTTATCAATGGCTGCAGGATGACCCAGCACAAATGTCGGTGCAGCTATTATCCCAAATTTCCCTGCAATTGTCCTCCTTCAGCACTGGACAGAATTTCATCAATTCCACCACCGGTCCGCTACCGCCTTTTCAGCCGTTCAAGCCTGACCCTAACGACCTCAACATCAACATGATGTGGTTCCTCAGCCTGACATTCAGCCTCCTCGCGTCGTTTTTTACCCTTGCTGTTCAACAGTGGCTTCGCGCCTACGTCCTTCCGAAGCAACTCTCCGTGCGCGACTCTGTTCGCCTAAGGCAGTCACGTTACGACGCCCTTCTGATATGGCAGGTGCCAAACATCATCATATTTCTGCCCGTTGTTCTTCAGGCGGCAGTGGTACTATTCCTCATAGGAGTACTACTACTTCTGCGAAATCTTAGCCATCCGATCATGACTGCATTCGCTGTCGTTTCTGGGGTACCCTTCTTCCTCTACGCCTTCTCCCTAGTCCTCCCCCTCATGTGGCCATCGTGTCCTTTCAAGTCGCCTTTGGTCCCCGCAACATCAGTGGTCCTCAACTGGTGTTTAGTTCCGCTTGCCATCACTGCCTTCTTCCTTGTCTTCGTGCCGCTTGTCATCGTCAGCTTGGTGTCGCGACTGTTCTTGGGGAAATGTGGAGGCTACTTCGACCTCAACGATACACGCGATACACTGCGGCGCAGCTCCATAAAGCCCTACATTTTCGTCATGTACATCCTCCGGAGCACCTTCTCACTCGGCGTACACGTTTTCGGAGAAATGAACGAGTTCTGGACCGCACGAGAGGTGCGCGACATGGCGCACGACACGGATGACGACCACACGGACGAGGACGAATATGCATTGGAGTGGGTCATCCGCGAAGTGCCGCAGCGTCAGCTGGACGCTCTCAAGACGTGCTTGTTTGATATTCCCGAGAAGAAAAGGATACAGTGCGTGTTGTCCTGGCTTGCCGTCTCAACTGGTGAATATGATGAATCGGTGTACGGTTACGCAGGCGCTTGGTGCCCTGTCGACCCCATCTTCCTCTCTCGAATTGGTCCGACTGCCATCCATCAGTGGAAGGACTATCTCTTAGAAGTGCTTCCACAGGACTGGGAGTCTCAAGACATGATCAGGGAGGATGAGAACGTCTCTTGCATCTTAGTGCTGTTAACCCACATGATCAGACTGTCAACTGTCGACAAGCAGTTCGTGGCATCGTTCAACGATCTCTTGCTGAAGATATGGCATGCACAGCGTGTGGAACGTCTTCAAAACGCGCACAACGGAAACCCGGATTACGATTGGGTACACATCCCTGTTGTCTGTCTGTTCCATGTTTGGGCCATTCAACCCGCTCAGCTCAATATAGAGCGTACGTACCTTTCCATTACGTATCCCTATCCGAGCTGACAGTTCGACAGAGACCCTGCAACTGCTCTCCACGACCAAGGCTCGCCTATCAGAGCTTATCTCTCTGAACCTCGGGTTAGTAGAGCAATTAAATGTTGAAATCGCGACCACCGACCTCGCCCTGTCATCCACGGCCGTCTCCCTCCTCGCCGTGCGGTCGCAGCTCTCGATAGCCCAGGAAGACCGTGTCGCTCTCCAAGAGGGAACGGACACCCTCCTGGCTCTTTTCGATCAATACCTCACGTCACAACGCAGGAACATCCAGTTCCTATCGACCCTCTGCCTAGACCATCCGAAGAGGACTGTCATATTCTGTACGCCCAAGGCCCTCGCAAGCATCGTCGAATCACTCGCTGGCCTCGCTGCAGCCTCGCTGCTTCCTGGGTTAGCCTCGAGCACTCTTGTGGGTCACCTGGTCGAGACGTGCGAGGGCCATCCTGCGCTTGAGGCTGCGTTAGCGTCATGCAACGAGATATCACTTGCTCCCGTGGCGAAACATTCAGAAGACGGCCGGCCAACGATGCCCGTCCTAACTCTGAGGCAGGGAACGTTGTTAGTTCCGAACGAAGGCGGTGTCAGTTCTGCGGCATCGTCACCTTGAGATCCGGCGCTCTTCTACAGGGAGTCTCCCTCCTTATCACTGATCCTCGTCTGCGCGCTGATAGTAATTGCATGAATAATATATCGCTACGTTTGCTTCCGTTGTATGTCTACCATGGGCTACAGCTTTGACTTACCTTATTGTACAGTGGACACGCCCAAAACACTAATTGCACCATCTACCCCATGTCTCTAGTTCCCGGCTCCAAACCGCTGGCGCAATAGCTGCTCGTTCGACAAAATCTCGCGGTACCAGTTGTTGCGCTTAACGCACGCCTCAGTGCCGTGTACAACGCGCGTTTCGCCCTGCGCGCGCGCCCGCTTGACGAGCTCCGCCGTGCGCGGGATGCGCTCCTTCTCGAGCTCGACGAATGCCTCCTGGAGGGTCGCTGTGAGCGGTGCCTCCGCGGTCGGGTTGTACTTCTCGAGAAGCTCGACCAGCAAGCCTGCGTCTTCAAAAGACTGGTTCGCGCCCTGGCCGAGATGCTGGGAGGAGGTCAACATAGGTGAGCGTGGTGACTGTGTAAGGCTTACCGGGCTTGTAGGGTGCGCAGCGTCGCCGATGAGGACAACCCGACCTTGATGCCACGTCTTCAGCTCTGGTCGGTCATAAAGCCCATACTGCAATATGTGTATGAGCACACTGTTCTCTCAGCTATATGCGATTATTCAACTCACCTTTGTGACGTTCCACCCGTTTTTGACGATCTCCCCGGCCCCGTATGGCCATTCGGAGACTGCGGATTTCTTAAATTCGGCGACACCGGCTTCGTCCATCGCTCTCCAAGTCTCCTTTGCTTCCGGTTCTCTCATCGTGACGCTATGCATGAAAGTCAGGGGTATGAAGAGCAAGACGTCAGGGACTGATGCTTACGCAAACCCCATCGTGTCTTCATCAATTGGTACTGCGATCATGTGAACGCCGTCACCGAAGACGTTCATTGCAGTATGGTTCCCTTTTGCTTTCAGAGGTGCGGGGCTTGGACCATACCCGCCGACCTGAGAAAATAACGTCTGAGATACGTTTTCTAGGTAAATGGATAAACTATACCTGAATCAAGCCAGTGTAGTCGGCCGGCTGCTCTCCAAACAAGCAGATGCGCGTATTGCTGTGTAGACCATCACATCCCACGACGAAACTGAAAGTCTCCTGAGCGCCGTTGGCGAACGTCACGGTGACACTGTCCTCGGCCTGCTCGAGAGTCTCCAGCTTATGGCTCCACTTGAACTCGATCCCAAGCGTTTCGGCGTGCGCGACCATCGCCTTCTGGAGCTCGCTCCTGCGGATGCCAAATGTACCGCGGCCCGTCGCCTCCCGCATCTTCTTCGGATGTTGCAACTCCGCGAGGACGCTGGTGTCCTCTGGGATGACGGAGAAGAAGTGGAACTCGTCGAGGTGGCGGCCCTTGATGGTCTCAAACAGCCCCGGGACGCTTTCGATGACGCGAATGCCGTTGGGTTGAACGCTATCAAAAAGTAAGTATCGCAACACGTCGATATTGCTGCGCTTTTGACGTACCCAATACCGATACCGGCTTCGGATGGTGCAGGATTTCGCTCGAAGACAACAGGCTCGTAGCCCTTCTGCTTGAGCAGCATCGCGAGCAAAGGCCCTGCGATGCCTGCGCCGATAACACCTACACGGGTTGACATGCTGGTGATGATGGAAGGAGGACGAGAGGGTGAAACGCGCAAGGTTTGCTGCGTGTAGCTCTTATACCTAGGGTTTACCATCGTCACGAGGCTTCTGTGATGTCCTTGGAGATTAATTGTATCAAACGGGGTCCTACATAGATCACGGCGATATCAAGTTAGTCGCAGGGTCACTGCACACACCGTAGGGACTAGTTTGCTTCGGCAGCTGAACCGCAATCTGAGTCAAGGATGGCTGCGGCCGCCAGGCCACGTCAAGCCGGGGGACGCTCGTACGTCTCCAGCGCTTGGTGAAGCGGGGACAATCGGTTGTGGC